TCAGGGGGGCACGGCCTGCATGGCTCTGGGTGTTGCTGAGCAGAACATGACTGCTGGCTTCTCTTGCAGGTAATGTTCTCCTTTGAAGCTGGCAGGCGCTGTGATTCTGGACCAGGGAACTTCACCTTCGAGACCAAGCAGGGCAATGAGATCTTCCGCTTGGTGGAAGCCTCCATCCGGGAACAGAAAGCTCAGGTGGAGGAGAACCAGCAGAGCTGTGACTCGTTGGAATCTGACAGCCCCAGTGTGGTGCTGCTCCGCCAGGCCCTGGCTGATGCACTGAGCCTGGAGCAGCCCACGGAAGGGGATGACGCTGCAGCAGCCAAGGCAGGCCTGGCACCCCGGCCTTCTGCTGCAGCAGAGGAGAGAGATGCGATATCACTGCTGAAGACCCGGATGCTGCCGGAGCCACCCGTGGTGCAGGCCAAGCCCCCCCTCACCAGCACCCCTCCACGCTCCCCTCTGCCCAAGGCACCGCGGGCCGTCCTGCCAGACAAGGATCCCTCCAGCCTCTACTCAGAGCCTCTGGACTCTGTGAAGAGCTTCCGACCCAGGCCGGACCCGCTGTATGCAGACCCCATTGACAGCAAGGCCGCGGGGGCTGCGGAGGGGGCGAATCTCCGGGTGCCGTTCCCGGGTTCCTGTGAGCAGCTGCGTGCCGAGGGCTGCGGCCCCCCGCGGAAGGAGCACATCTACGACGAGCCCGAGGGCTGCGCGCCCCGCATGCTGCCCGCCACCGCCGGCATCTACGACGAGGCACGGCCCATAGGCGAGGCCTGGCGCACGCAGGGCCACGATGGCAAGAGCGGCTACGAGTTCCCCTACAGCCCCAGTACTGATGACTATTCAGTTCCTGCCTTCAAGGCCAAGGGCCCCAAGCCAGTGCCTGCTCCCAAGCCCCCGGCAGCGTTCATCTCCAAATGTGCTGAAAGAAGTGAGGACCCTGGCAGGCGGCGAGGGAATCTTGCTCCTGAGAAGGCGGCCGTCAAACCTGGCCTGAACAGCAGCAACAACAACAACACGGAGGTGCTGTACTGCCGGGTGATGAAGCCCCAGCTTGGGCAGAGGAAGGAGCAGAGTGTGGATGAGTGTAGCTTGTCTCCTGTCTATGAGGACCTAGGAGAGATATAACTGTTCTGCTCTGCACCTGCCTGAGGGGCTTTGTGGCCCAAACTCAACAAGGAGTGGCACAGGCGGCTGTGTTCCATGGCCTGGCACGGGGCTGGGGGCTGTTTGGACGGGGCAGAGCCCCTCCCGCTCGTCAGCTCTGAGGGGCTTTGTCTCCCTGGGTCTGTCCCACGCTCCCAGGCTCAGAGTGCACTGGTGCTGGTGCTGCTCGGCTCCAGAGCCAGCCTCGCTGACACCTGGTGGGGCAGGAGGGTGGGCTCTGCACTGTGCCTGCTGCTTTGACTCCAGAGGCTCTGGCTGTGCTATGCCTTCCTCTCTAGGCCAGCCATGGGACTAAGAGGCTCACTGCAGTGCCTGGGGGGCTGCTTGCCATCAGTCTCCAAAAGTATTTTTATACCAAATTATTTTGATATTAAAATTTGTATGTCTTATGATGAAGTGTTTGCATGTGGCATGTTAGGCACATAGCTGGGGAGATGCTGGTGCAGAGTTGTGGTGTGTGATGCCCTGTAGAGCAGTGCTCGCGCTCACGCTGTCTGTGCCAAAGCTGCTGAGCTAAGAGCAAACCACAGAGACAGTGGGTGGCAGCTCCAGCAGTGGCTGGGATGCCCTGATGCCAAGGGATTGAGGGATGTGAGAATCAGCCCCACTGAGGCTCTGGTGTGCTAGTCAGGATGAGACATGGGATGACCTGAAAAAATGCAGGACTCTCTTGGTCAGGGCCAGGCTCAAGGTCTGTGCTGGAGCTCAGTGGCTGTTGATGAGGTACAGGTTCTCTGCTTAACCTGGTGCATTCCTCTGCTGATTTCCCCTTTTATCCTCATGTGCTTGTGGGGGGCTGAGGATGGCCCAGTCTGAGTCCCATTGACTTTGATGGTAAATACTGTGATTGTGATGCTTACAAGGCGAAAGGTTTGGCTATGATTTCTGTGTGCCTTGGGCAGAAACCTGCACAGGGAAAAAATACGTTGCTCTTTTGGTGTTGGTAATGGCTGTGAAAGATTTTGTCTCCTCTGTGTGGGGCTGTGCCAGGCACCTTGGTGCTGCCTGTCCCTCAGTCTTGTGCTGCTGATGGCTTCTGCAGGTTCACCAGCCTGCTGATGGAGATGGAAGCAGAAGTCTAATATTCCTGTGCAGAGGACTAAGCATGAATTCAGTAGCCCAAGCTCACACCCAGAGAGCCACAAGCTGGTAGCAAGGTGTGCAGGGCTGTGTTCACATTCCCAAACTGGTGAGATGGAAGCGAGCAGTGGGTTCTGACTGGGTGTGTGATGTCTGGGTTACAGGAGGAGCTTCTGTAAAAGTGCAGCAACAACTTGAACCAGTTTGTTGTTGTTGTCTTGTGCTCCATACTCTTTTCTGCTGGGGTTTTGCTGCAGTAAACTGGAGAAACACCTCAGAGGTGTTTTGGGAACCAGAGAGAGCCTGATATTGTTCCTGCCCAGGACAGGGGTGTGCCTGCTCCCTGTGCACAGCTGGGGTGGGGTGACCCCAGGCAGGTGCTTCAAGTCCTAGGAATTCTCAGGGAAGAGCTCTGGGCATTGCACTGGGGGGCACCTGCCCATAAACCTTCTTTGTGACTGCAGTGTAGGGCTCTAACACTGGAGTGGTGAAGTGCAGCCTCCAAGGAGCTGAGCTCTGGGCTCCACCTTACACACTGTGGTGGGTACTCGCACATCTGCATCACTGCAGTTGCTGTGTCTGAGGATACTGAGTGTGTCTGACCCAGCTTTCACTGTAAAGGATGCCAGAGAAGAGGGAAAGTGCTCCAGTATCTGTGCTAGATTCAGTGCTCTCCCTGCAGCCCTGCACTCCTCCTGGATGGGATGTTTGCTCTTCTTGCTTCAGTGACATCTTCTCTCCGTTAACTGGCCTAAAACTAAAAGGTAGGCACACAAGGCAACATTTGTCTTCTGCATTTGTCCTGCTTTCTTTACAGGGGTTGCCACATGTTGACAGTGCGTGCAGCACAGAAAGCTCTTGCTGATCTGGAGAGCAATCCTTTTTCTGGCTCACTGTTGTAGATCAGGGTTGCCATCTCTCTCGGGCTGCTGCTCTGCGCTCCAACTTTTCTCCTTTCTGGAAGCAGGTTAGGGTGCCATAGGTGCTTTGAGAAAGCATAAGAAATAAGGCAAATAAAGAGTGAGCTTTTGGCTGGTCATCCTGTAGCCAAAGTTGCAGTGAATTCTAGGAGCAGATGACCTTGCTGAATTTTTGTCTGGATTAGGTTTATTCGGTCTGCCTTCTTTTGTTTCCTGTTATTTCCACGTGTTGAACAGTGAAGCAGCTGGGTGAGGCTCACAGATAGCCCTGGCACATCACAGTCACTGTGCCATTACTGAATGCAGTCTGCTTACTTGGGGAACAGCATCCTGCATCTTCTGCCTTGTCTGTGTGCTCGGAGCCAGGCTGCGTGGTGCACAGAATGTCATTTGGATATCAGGCTTCCTTGTATGTGGGCAGCCTATGAGCCTTCCTGTTCTGTTTGCTAAAAGCCCAAACTCCAGCTGAGAAATGTTACTGAGTACAGCAGGTCTAGCAGCCACGGCTGAGATGAAGCAGCATTCTTGGTCTCTGTAGGCCAGTAGGCAGTTCTTATCAGGAGAAAAATACTTGGGAACTGCCAAAGCCCAGCCACATTCTTTCCCTTTGTACCACCTTTTTCTGTTTCTCGTTCCGGAAACCGTCCTTTTATAACCACTTCCTCCTCCCTTATGGGGTCCTAGCATGGTGCAGGTGTGAGACAGCTGTTCTGCCATTAGGGAGAGCACTCAAACACACTGGCTGTAGGGTTATTGCCCTGCTTCACACCGGTGACCAGGCAGAAGGCTTCAGAAGGAACCCCCAGACGCTCCCAGCGCTGTGATTTCTTTCCCCTTTTAGTCCCTTTTCCCTCTTTGTGAGTTTCTCCTTTGTCAGCCTCCTTTCGTTCACAGCAAGCCATCAGCTGCTGTTGATGTACCCTTTCCTACTGATAGAATTACCCGAGTAATTTCTAAATGAGTCATCAGATCAGATAAGGAGGGAGGGGATTGTTTTATCTGCTTGGTTTTTCACATTATCAGGTTAGCATGCTGGAGGTGAAACCATTTGTGTGCATTACTGCCGTTTGTTTCTGGCCACTTCTCAGTTCCTCACCTTCTGAGCTTGTTTGTTAAGGACTGGTGAGGACTGGCCATCTGCAGGCACGCACACCCCAGGAAATGCATCTCCCTGTGCTGCTAGGGATGTCCACCCTTCCCTCCTGGTACTGCCCCGAGCAGCTGCCTGCATACTGCCACCTGCCCAGGCATGGGGAGCTGCCAGGGCATGGGAAGCTCAGATGCATGCAGCAGAAACCAGCAGCAAAGGCACAGAGCAAGATGGGGAGTGGTGTGTCTGGGCTTTGTGCTGTGCTTGAGTCAGGCTGTGTGCAGTTGTTGATGGCACAGCTCCCACACAGACACAGAAAGCAGCATCTGGTTCATCTCTGTCTCAGCAGCAACTGTGTGGTGCCCTTCCTTGGCCTCAACGCTCGGAGGGGTCCTGGTGCCCTCATCTGAGACTACAGCACGCATTGTACTGTAGGGATTCAGGTATCAGATGAGAACACTACTACAAGAGGTAAATAGGGTCTTGGCACCTTTTCTTCCGTTGGGTGCTTTACCATCTCAGTGCACATCTCATGAGTGGGTGGAAAATAGGTAGCAATCAGAGCCTGCTCGTGAGCTGTGATCCTGGAACAAACAGCTGGCTCTGTCCTGCCGCTGCAGTCCTTGAGGAAGCACGGTGCTGCACTGCGCCCTTGGTCAACAGCAGCCGTTTCTCAGGAAACAGAGGTCAGTGCTATGATTGCCACACACTGTAAGCACTGTAGACCACAAGCAGTAAGGTAACATTTAGCAAGAGGACTTTATTTTGAAACAGAACGTTAGAACAAACTACGTGGAACACAAATCCCTGTTTGTGAGCAGTATCCAGGAAGCCCAGTGATGCTGCCCCACATTGGTTAAGTTGCACTGTCCTCAGCTCCTGCTCTGGCAGCTGTCCTATGGATGCACTGAAAAACTGGGGCTCACTCAGCTCTCTGGAAAGCTGCGGGCAACTCCCTGTATCTGGGAAGCCTTGCCAAGATGTATGGCCACGCCAGCTTGCAGAACAGTCTCTTTTGTGCAGATGGGCCATAAGATGGTGTGCTTCAAGCAACAACTGGCAGGGAGAAAGGTACTGTTCTGAGGTCCAGCTGCAGTGGGTTACTGCACTGTGCAGGAGTCGGCCAGGACACGGCTGCTAGCCTGGCACTTCTGCAAACTATCCATGAGCTCAGGAGAGGGACACAGACACCACTGTGGAAGTCGGCAAATCAGCATTGGAACAGATAGTGCTGCTGTGGGAGACAGCATTCTCCAAAAGCCCTGTTTTATGCTATTCAGAACACTCTTTGAAACCTTCTGCAGGATGAGGGTGGCTTGACGTTGCTGTACAGCCCAACTTCCCCACCACGCTACCTTGCAGTTTTTCTGCATTCACTGACGGCAATCTGTGGTTTGTGGGCTGCACTCGTCTGTTCTAGAGAACGTAATTTGAGGCTTGTTGGTGATGTGTGCTGAAATATCAGGTGTTGTAGGGAACAGCTGAACAGCAAGAGGCCAAGAAACCCTGCATACTGCCACCTGCCCAGGCATGGGGAGCTGCCAGGGCATGGGAAGCTTCACCAGGGAATGGTGAACCAAGCTTCCTGCCAACTGATTTAGTGACAAACAAAACCATAAAACGAGGAGCAACAAACAACGGAAAGCACCCATCTGACCTCAGCCAGGCTTCACTGTCTTGCCTGTCTGCTTCTGGCTCAGAAGCCAAACCATTAACTGCTTGAGACGGGTGTTAGCAGTGCCATGGGGTATCTTCAGTGCAGGATCTTGTCATCCTCTTTGGGAAGGAAGGAGAGTGCGCAGGAATCTCTCCTCACTCCTGCTGGTCTGAACAGTTGGGCAGGAGAAGGAGCCATCAGGAGGGGTGCCACTGTGGCTTTGGCTCTGCTCTGATGCTGCAATGCAGGGATGAAATATTAATGTACCTTGTGGAAGGAGGGGTCAGCTTGTCCAACACTTGGCTGCATGCTGCCTCAGTGTGTTTGCCAGCTGTTCAGCACGCATCTTCTCAACAGCACAAGCTCCACTCACCTCGCCGCTTCTGCAGCTGTAAGTGAATGCTGCCCCTGCCATATGTGGCCTCCCTGTCCCATCAGGGTATCGGGGAGCTGCCCTCTTCCCTTCTGCAGGAAGCAGATCAGGAGCACAAGACAGAGGCTGTCTGTGGTGGTCAAAGACAAAAGCCGTACCTGCTTTGGCTGATGCCGCTCCGGTCGCTGCTCCCTGGGCTGGGGCTGCTGCCTGTGCAGCGGTCTGTACAGCATACTTTTCAGGTATTTATAGAGGTTGCTTTTCAGGTGTAAGGGATTATAAGTAACTTCCACTTCTAAGCTGTTCAGGGCACTCTGCTCGGACAGAAAAAAGGCAATTAGATGTGCCAAGAGGAGGACTTATTATAATCATTATTAGTGGCTGTCTTTTTTTTTTTCTGGGGGAGCATTTTTTGCAGGGATGGCTTTGTTGTTTGCAGGAAAACCGTAGAATATATTGTCTGCTGAAAAGAATTTTTGGAGTGCTACATCATATTCCACCTGTCAGTGGACATTTTCACAGCTGTTCTCTCCTCTGTTCACCTGCTAAGACCTATAGCAAGAGCCCTGCCCTTCCTGACATCACCTGAAGCAGAGGCAGAAAACTCAGAAGAACATGTGGATGCACAGCATGAATTGCAGAAGTTTGAATCTATCAGAAGAAACAGAGATACCTTATGTGTTGATTTATCTTGTGTACAAAGGACCTACTGTAGTAAGGGAGATAAATACAACTTCAGTAGCATTTGCATGTTCTGTGCAAGCAGGCTGACTATAAGCCTGATTCCCTGCTTCTATAGCTGGCATTTCTGCCACAGGTTTTTGTGTAGGGTCATCGATGACTTACCTCTATAGCACCCTGTACTCTCTCAGGATGCTCAGCAGAGAGGGCTGGGAAGGCTGATGGCATCAAGAGCTCTCTGGCAGCCACTGGTTTGACAAGCAGAGTGGCAGAGTCAGAAGGGACAATGATGTAGTAGGAATGCACCACAGTGTTCCAGCTTGGACAAGTGTTGTGTGGCTCATGTTTGGCCAAAAGCATCCACTTCCTTTTCTAAACAGCAAAAGCCAAAACCAACATGTAAAATGGGTAACAGCTGCTTCCTTCAGCACATTCACTGTGAGATCACCGCTACTACACAGCCACTGCATGGTGGCTGAGGAAAACCCAACTTTCTTCAATGAATGCAAGACAGTTCTTAAGAAAACATCCACGTTTAATTTAAGACTTGTCAGTAATGGAAAGTCCTCCACATCTCAGAGCCTTGGTTAACTATTTTTACAGTTAAAAATACTTGCCCAACTCCAGCCCTGATTTTGCACTTTCTAGCCCCATTTCTGATTGGCAAGAGTGCCTGTTTGATGTGTTGCAGGTTCTTTGCCATAGTCATGGTGACTGGAAGGACTTACAGGCCCAACCCTGGCACATGAGAAGAAGCCATATATTTTGAACATATTTTCAGGCACAGGCTTGAAAGACCTTACTGGGTGCACACCAACAATTCCTTTCTGTGGCAATCCCTCCCCATGAGACTGCGATTTTTACACTCACCAAAAGACTGTGACATAGAGCATGGAAGCTGTGCTGGTTTAGCTCCAGTTCGTCCCAGTCCAGCTGCCAGCAGCTCGTGGGCTTGATGATGAAAGGCAGTCCGTACAGTACAGACTCACAGACCCCTTCAGACTTCAGAGCTCTATAAACAAACAGCTCGTCTTCAGCACAGCCAGCCTGAAACTGCCAAGACTCCGCAGGGGGGAGATGAGCTCAAGCAGCCATGGTTGTAACAGCTGCAATCCTGCTACAAACAATATCTGTAGCCACAATGAAGCCCAACTGAAGTAGGGAAAAGTCCAATTGCAGTGGAAAGCCTGCAGGGCTTTGTTGCTGATGGACACTGAGTTTGGCACCCTCCAGCATGCTGCCAGGTTCCACTGTATTTCTTTTGTCAAGAGTATGCCCTGGAGCATATTCAGTCTTCACACATTTTGAATACAAAGCAGACTAGTAATTTGGCCTCTTGGGCAATAGATCACCCTGGCAGTTACATCTCTCCCTAAGTGATTTTAGCATATTATGGTTTTCCTTCCCTTCAACTGCTCCTGCACACAGCTAGCGTCCCACTTTAAGGTCCCTTCCGACCCAAGCTATTCTGTGATTCTGTGATTCACAATTACTAAGACTCTTCAAACACTGACAAGCTGAGAATCATTTCGGGAACAACCATACAGGAAGAAGTTCAAAAATCACACCACATTTTTACTAAAAACAAACCTTCCTGTTATTTTCTGTGCCTACCAGCAGAGCCTGCTGATGGGAAAAGAAGACAAATTCTTATCTGCAGTCCCTCAGAACTGTGAAGCTTTCACTGCTTTTTTGCCTAATAGTCAAGTAAAGAGATCAAGCTCTAGCAGCCAGTTAATTGCTGCAGCCTCTTTTAGGTAGTGCTTTCACTACCTAAAGCATATATGGAACAATGGCCACAACCTGTAGGGCTTCACACTGGAAGGAATCACTGCTGCATGCATAAAATCTATGCTTTTAAACTCATAAAGTGCTAGCATTATGGTGACATCTTTTTAGACTTTGCACACCTGTCAGCATGTATGGGATGTGCAAATGCATCCTGCCAAGAGGTACAGCTGCTGGGAATGTTTTAGCCCAGAGTTTTCCTTGCTCTTTGAGTCCCAGGCACTTTATGTTGACATTCCTGGCCCCTAGTTGAAATTGCACAGAAAGCATGAACACTGTTATACCAGCATTCCAGCTATCGAGCAAAAGATGCAACAGCACTTACTTCACAACCTGGAGTTTATACAGCATCGTCGCTGGCCAGGCTGTCATCTGGCAGGGTGAGTTTAAATCAGCTGTTCTCAGGGTGCCATCCGTTGTCCCAGAAAGCAGAGCTGGGTCGAGCAATCTTTCTTGCAAATCACACTTCAGACACACTGGGAGAGGGAGATGGGTTTAGATTGGTGGAAACAGCACTGTGTAGCACACGACATGCTCAAGCCACTTACAAACAATAAGTTAATATTATCTAGCAACTGCAACTATGGAGTGAATAATAAAATCACAAAAATCCCTGTCTGGAAGCGACCCACAAGGACTTTTACTCCAGGCTCCGCTCAGCTCTACCTAAAAATCAAGCCATGTCTCCCTGGAAGAGCAATGATAAATCCTGTGAAACAAGGCAGCACGTTTTGCCACTGGATAAGCTGTCATCACATAGTTTGGGGAGAAATACTCCACGCTGAAGATAGCAACTCTACTGTCACAGGGTGTACAGCTGCATACGATTTCTCTGGCCTTCCAAAGAGTTCTTCAGTGTGGGAAGGTGAAAACAACCTGCTGTAACTTGGTTTGTGTCACTAGCTATAACAATTCAGCACATCAAATGTGAAATTGAATGTTATGATGAAGAAACATTCACCTTTCAGAAACAAAAACCACAATAATGTGTGCTCTGGAGGCCATTATGGTGGCTACTGCACAAATAAAGTCACACTAAGCCTTCTGACCTGCTTGCTGAGCATGTATCTGCAAGAGCCCCACCACCTCCGTGCTTCTTTTCCAGACCAGAGCCAGCTTGCAGACCATTAGCAGAAAACAAGTGTGCTTCTGCTGCCTGGCAGTGAGAGGCAACACATGAGAGACAGTGGAGCAGCATGGAAGGGCTGCTGGAAGAGCACATGCAGATTGCCACGGCAGCACAATGGTGGCAACGCAGCCAACAAACCCTTATGGGAAGCATCTGTGTCTGCTTACTTACCTGAGGAATTGTTAGGAATTTGGACTTAAAGGGGAAAAAAAAAACAACACACAAAAAACCTCAAACACCAATAGATAAAAATATGTGCCGAGCCCCTTTTAAAAACAACCTTAATTTAAGTGCTCTGGCACGGACCCATATCATCAAGCATAAGGAACATAATTTTAGAGCCATAAAGCTGAGGCAGAAGGTCTCTGGCACTCAGTAAGGCCCCTTTTACTTTGACCCAGTGGCCATAAAGTCACATCCTCTCCAAAGCACATGTTTGCTGCAGAATGGAGGTGAACTGTAGCATCAACAGTCATGGGACACAGCAACCCTGACACACACTCTGAGCAGGTGCCTAAGAGCCTGACGCAACAGAAACTACGGAGAGCTTTCAGTGTCGCCCCGAGACCCTACTTGAGTCTAAAAATGAAGAGGAACTTGTCCAGGACGGGCCTGGATAATCGTTAAGGTTGTGGGAGTCAGGAGCTCTCTGCAGAGAGGGAGAGAAAATGCCGTACTTAGGGTTGGCTTGGGTGCAGTGCCACAGCTGAGGCCTCCAGACGGAAGAAGAAGATGCAGATGTTCCCTCTCTGAGCCACAGTCATGGAGCCACGTTTTAAACAGCATCTCCAAGCTGATGACATTATCCTCTATGGTTTGCAGATCAATGTCCATTCCAAGGATTGCAATATCTGCAGGGAAACATGGGGAAACGCACGCAGACATATTTTCAGTCATAAAAATGAACATTCTTCTGCATTTTGCACTGCACTTTACCCCTCCAGCTCTTCAAATGCCTTCAAACAGAAATCACACAAATCTCAGCACAGCACTGCGACACCTGCCCTCTTAGAAGAGCTTTGCTATAAGCTGAAGGTTTGTATAAGAAATCACAGAAACTGCAAAACAGAAATGCTACTGTAGTTAGGAATTTTGTAGAGTGACAAACTACTCCTCGTAAAGAAGATGAACGTTGCTTTGCAATGCAGACACAACTACACTGCTAAACACCATCAGTACCAGGAGCAGCTAGACACAGAACAGAAGTAAAACTTGACCTGGAACTGAAAGATGTGAAATGAAAGGATGTGGTTCAGTACATTACTGCTGAAGTGCTGCTTGGTAACAGCAATCACAAAGCAGAAGATCTTTGCAGATAAAAATACACAATTCTTCAAAATAAATTAAAAGGAGGTGTTAACAAACAACAACAAAAACCCCATAACACTCCCACATAATAACCCAAAGTGGTGTCAAAGAAGCTGTCATAAAGTCTGGCATATTCAATTAATTTAAAAAAGATAAAAAGTTGGAAAAAGTGGGAAAAAACAGAGTCTGATAACCAACTCGCAAAACCTGTATGATGTGTCTGAAACACAGCCTTCGTAACCACAGGAGAAACAGCCTGGTAGCATTAATGGTGCACAGAACTGAGGTGTGAGACCAGTATTCCAGGACAAGGAGTGGGTAGCAGGAAAAGCCCTTTGTTGCAAATGTTTATTAGTTCAGCTGACGATTGAAATGCAGCTCTACGTTCATGTGCAGTGGGAAATGTTTTCTTGATGCATTTGTATTTATGGGTTGCAAACATAACACTGTGCATCCTCTCCTGCATTCAAAAAAATGAGATGGAAATTTATTAACCTCCCCTACATAATGAATAGTATAAAATCGATTAAAGGGCTAAAATAATGGCTGTGAAGTAATTCCTCAGCTGTCTGCAAACTGCAACTCGCAGTGTGGCCATCAGATGACGACGGCCAACTCACTGCTTCCCCTTGCAGCCCTGAGGGAGGCACTGGGTTGACGCAGGCTGTACTTCTGCAGCCCCCCCCACGGGAGGTGCCTCACATTGCCTTTGGTGCTGAGAGCTTTTCAAGTCCCAGTCTGGCTGCCCTGGGCTGCAAGGTCTTTTTTTTCCTGTGGCAGCTCTTGTATACGTATGTATCACAGCATCGCAGCATCACAGAACGGTAGGGGTTGGAAGGGAGCTGCAGAGCTCATGGAGTCCAACCCCCTGCCCAAGCCGTTCCTACAGCAGTCACACAGCTCGGCATCCAGGCAGGTCTGGAACATCTGCAGAGCAGGAGACTCCACCACCTCCATGGGCAGCCTGTTCTAGTGAACAGTGGGACCATAGAGACACGTTGGGACCCATAGAGACCCATTGAGACCCATAGAGACACGTTGGGACCCATAGAGACACATTGGGACCCATAGAGACCCATTGAGACCCATAGAGACACACTGGGACCCATAGAGACACGTTGGGACCCATAGAGACCCATTGAGACCCATAGAGACACGCTGGGACCCATAGAGACATGCTGGGACCCACAGACTCCCCCCCTCCCTGCATGCTGTTCCATCGCTCCTCCCCTCACTGCACAGCCGTTCCTTCGCACATTGCTGCACAACTTCCTATGCTGCATTTCCAGCCGTTTCCCCTCGTCCTGTCTCCACTCCCCACTGAACAGAGTCCGGCCTTGCCATGCTGCCCCCCACACCTCAGATATTCACAGACCTGGATCAGCTCCCCTCTCAGCCTTCTTTTCTCCAGGCTGAACAGACCCAGCTCACTCAGCCTTTCTCCATAGCAGAGATGCTCCAGGCCCCTCACCATCTTTTGGCCCTCCGCTGGACTCTTCCCAAGAGATCCCTGTCTGTTTTGTACTGGGGAGCCCAGAACTGGACGCAGTGCTCCAGATGAGGCCTCAGCAGGGCAGAGCAGAGGGGGAGCATCACCTCCCACCGTGCCTTGTCCCAGTCTTCTCAATGCTTGTGGAAATTCGAGTTGCTCCCTGGAGCAGTGCTGGAGGATACCCCAGGCGGAGCAAATTCCTCACTGTTCTCTGGAGACAGCTCCACGTGAGCAGTTATCACCTGTCAGTCTCTGGCCCGATGGTAGGATTCGAGTTCCAGTTTCCCTGCAGAGTGCACTGATGTGGAGCGTGCACTTGGAGAGCCTGCTGGCTGTGCTTCAGCTGTGACAAATCCATAGTTTTCTTAGGCTTCGCTGATGCAGATGGCATCAGCAGTACAGAAGACAAAGCACCTGGAAATTGTGTCATTCAATTTGACAAACAACGTGTACACAGGTGACAAGGGGAATTACCTGTGTTTTGAATGACAGTGTTTTGGGGCTGGTAAATATTCTAGTTCTTTACTCAGTAAATATAAATATATATACATATATTACATTTCTCTAATGCATATGTAGCCACTTACACATCTTAAGTTAGCACAATAGGTGGCAACTGTAAAAATAAATTCATTGGATTCACTGCATCTGCAGGAAGATTGGGGTGGGATGCCGACCCCTATGAGTGATGGCTGCAGAAGTCCTCGAACGCTGGGTATGCAGCACCATTTATTGGCCAGCTGTCTGCAGAGAGCAGATAAAAAAGGTTCCTGGGCCTTGCAGAAGATGGACTGCGTTCATAAAAAAGGTATCGGTGCTTGTTTTTTGCTTTCTCAAAAGACAGAGCCAGCATCTCATAAATATTAGCTGCCATTTGCAAATGGTTTGGCAACATCCAGACGCTTTAAGTGTTCATAATGGGGTGGAGGAAAGAAAGACACAGCAATAATTCCCATCTTATCCATTAGAGATCAGTTCACTGCATCCCACTGATTACAGACACACACTACTCCCATTGCAAAAGCCTTATGTATTGGTCTCTTTGTGGGATTTATAGTCTTTGTTCCAGTCTGCAGTCTGCTAAGCCCTAATGTTCTATCACTGAAGAAGCACCATCGGTTTAGTTGTCGTCCCACAGAAGATTTGCTTTGCTGTTCTGAAAACCCAATCCTTACTTCTTGTCAGATGGTCTTCATGTAGAATTGCTACGTTCTGTATCTCTGTTTATTTTTTCACTCCAGATATTGAAAAGGGCTGCACAACTTCACTTTCAGAAACAACAGTGGGAGTTTGCATGCTAGAGCAGCCCCGTGGTCAAGAGGCAAAGAACATCTCATTTTTTGGTGACTCCTTTTTCAAGGTCTCCCTGCACAGTTCCGTGCAGCATCAGCACATTGCAGAGCCCTGCCAATAATGCACCTCACCTAAGAAGTCAGCATCTGCAGCCACCTGAAATGATCCCTTCTGTCCATATGGACTGGAGCAGTGTTTGCTAAGAACACCTCAGCCTCAGAGCTGTGGGCAACAGTTTCTTCAGAACCGTTTTGTAACTCACAGTTCTGGTGCCCTTGGGGCTCAGACATACTGAAGTAATTGTAAAGCCATGTCAGAGTGACAGAGCCTTGGTCCTCTTCCTTGTGACCCAGAGGTGGTGGTGCTGATCAGGTAAAACAGACCTGCCCTTCTGGCAGCAATGAGGAGAGCTCTCTCCAAAGCCCCTGGTCCAAGCAGGCAGCCTAGAATAAGCAGCTCAGTCTCTCTGATGGAGTCCTTCCTTTCCAGGAAGAAAGATTTCAGCAGGTAGGAAAAAGCCTGCTGTGTGTCTCAGAACTTGGTGACAAAGCTCAGTACTGGATTAAGTCTAGCCAGCAGGCTAGTGGGAAGCAGAGGTGGCACAGAGCAATCGTTGCCTGTGGCAAAATGCAGCTGGTATGTGCTATGAGGAGGGAAAAGCAGCAAAGCTCCTGCTATTCAGGAGTTACTTTATCAGCCTCGAGAAAGAGCTGAAGTAACTGAAGAGATTTGAAAGTTAGATAAAAAGCAATATAGAAAATAAAAGTGGCACTGTATGCACTGTACAGGCTTCTGCCAGTTAACTGCTGCAGTACAGGACTTCTGGGTACCACCTCACAGGTTTATGGAGCTCAGCATCATTTGCTGTACAACAAAAGGCTCATAACAGCACCTCATAGTAATTTCTTGCTTTGAATTTCTCATTACTATAGCTTAAATTCTTTCTGCTGAAAACTCTCAGATTAGTGGCAGCATTCTATAAAGATACAGCCAGGAAAAACAGCACCTAGGGCCTGAGGTGAACTACCTCCTTCATTAATGAAACACGGGGTCATGTATGCAGTGGGCAGCACCAAAAGGAATCTGTGACCTGCCTCAAACAGCCCCAACCCCTGCTCTGCCACGGGACCAGAAATGTGCCACTGCAACCTGGAAAGAACAGCTAGAGGCAGTCAAGGCAGCAACATCCAGCGCTGCTTATCGCTGCACAGAAAAGTGCTGCCATTGCTGGTAACTGGCCATGCTCTAACTCTGCAAGGCACCAGGCCCAGGTTTATGGAGCTTGTTATCAACCTGCTGTGAGAACCTGCTGTGTGAATCAAGGCTTGTTGGTCTGGACTTGAAGTGCGAATTAGCAGCAATGGCCTTAAAATGGAGACCTGGACTGAGAAATAGAAGCTGCTGGCTATAAGGAACTCACTGATGAGTGCTTTCACTGTTTACTCAACAAGTATAACCTTAGAGCCTGGGAAAAGCTGCCTTAAGCATTGGAAAAAAAAAAAAGGGAAAAAAAAAAAAAAAGCAGCAGCAAAGCAAAGACAACAGTGACAAAAAAAGCTGATCAACAGTACATTACGTGATGTGGTTTGGAAATGTAACTCCTGCAGGCATACTGGAGTATGCAGTCTGGGGGCAGAACCTGAAGGTTAATGCTCAGCAGTATGAGTTCTCAGCCTGTGCTGTTCTCACAAATTCTGCACTTACTCTCTTTAATTCCTCAATAAAGCTCTACTGCACAATAAGTCAATTTTTAGTAAAACCTAGAGAAGAGCTGCATGAAATCTACATGCTAAGTCTACCCAAATGCAAGAAGGCACCCTGAGAAATGCTGTGGTACAAGTTTATTGTTGTTCTCCAGTCTCAGCAGCTCCCACTTGAGTGACACCAAATGGCACAAAGGAAGATGGTAGGTATTGGACAAAGGCAAGAAGCAGTGCTGTCCAAAGCCATGAGTTTTGCAAGTACTCACCACTGCTGCTGGGCTCTTCTGCTGGCGTGCACTGTTCCACATCCTCTGGCTCCAAAAAGTCTCTCTTCAAAACCTCAATGACTTGTATTCTTCTGAGACTCACAAGGTCTACATCTTTTAGCTTCCTTTCCAGCTGCTCAACAATTTCTTTACCTGACTGGCTCGTCAAAATTGTGATCTGAAACACAAATCACAGTGCAACAGCTGCTTCTGACTCTACTCCTCCGTTGGTAAGCAATGATGTTGGGCTGCCTCCTGTTTGAATAAGGTGCCAATTTGATGGAAGAAGCATATAATCTATTTGTAAAGAAGACCTAAACACGTCGCTTTTTTAGCCTTAGCTCTTGTGAGAGCTGCATGTAAAGGGCAATGAGAGAGACAATGTATGCATGGGAGGGCTTCTCCCTAAGCTATCCTGAGGGAAAGCACCACTTCCCATTACAGCACCAATCCATATTTCAAGTAGATCAAATCTGGCTGTCTAACTTAAAGGCTGAATAGGAATATAGATGTGTACAGCAATACTAAAACGTGTTTCCACAGCAAAGAACATCTTCTCTTTTCAAATGCATCTCTGGTGTTTGGCTCTGAAGTACTGAAAGAGAAGAAAGATGGTGGTCTCCTTTTGGGATATACTGAAAATGGTTAACAGGGACTGTCCTTGAAGTGGAGGGAAGCTGAACTGTCTACAAGAGACCACTGTCTTCTGCTGAGCTATAGACAAACCATTTGTTACACTAATACACCTTTATCTAATTAAAACCATGGATGCATTTCATCTACAGACTATCACATCCCCTTTGCCCTTTTCAGAACCTGAGACACATAAGCAAAGGCCAGTGAGAGGCCAGGAGAAAAACGTCCCTCAAAAAAAGCTACTGTGACTTCACTTTACTACACTTCCTCAAAATAATCTCTTAATGCTAGTATACTTCTCAGCTGTACAAAAAAAACAAACCAAAGTCTGCTGGGGACTTGAAAAAAGCTTTCCATCCTAATGCAGCCCATGTTTCCTGTCCCCATTGCTGTGGCTTCACTGATGCTCCTGCTTTTGTCCTTCTGAAGTCATGAGACTTCCATCCCATCTTCCATGAGACTCCCTCTGTTTACAAGCAACAAATCTAGGAGGGCATCTTTCCTGCTCGGCTCTCCTGGCACCTGTACCAGAGACAGCTGGTTGTCATTGTATCGATGTGTACGAACACCCAAAAGGAGGGTGCAAAGAGGATGGAGTCAGGCACTTGTCAGTGGTGCCCAGTGCCAGGACAAGAGGAAACAGACAGAAACTGGAATACAAGATGTTTCATCTAAGCATCAGAAAGCACTTCTTTACTGTGCAGGTGATGGAGCACTGGCACGGTGCTTTAAAGCCTCCCTCTGCATGTGGGTCCTGGGTACCCCTGCTCCAGCACAGGAGATGGGCTAGACAACCTCCAGAGGTGCCTTTCAACCTCAACCATCCCATGATAGGCCGAAAGGAAAATCACCACCATCTTCCCAACGTTGTCTTACCTCAACAGAGCTATTTGCTGAGCCTCCTGCTGCTGTGTGCCTGCTGTATTGTTTGAACTGCTGCAATCCATCCTGCACGGCCTGTACCACTCCATGTCCCCCCTGTGGGAAGCAGCCTTCTCTTGACAGTGAGCGGAGCTCTGAAATACAGGCTTGAACTCGTGCAAAGTTCTCCTTCAAGTGCTGCAAAACAAAACTCAGTGACATCGGAAGACTGGAAATGTCAAAGTTATCATATGAACTGTTTTTCCATGATGTGCAAAGAAGCTTTTGCATTACCAGCAGTGAGATGAGACTGGGGTCAGGAGTTTTGTACTTCAAAGTGGCTTTGTAAAGCTGTGAACAGTGATGTGAATCTAAACCAGCTGACTGCAGCAGCACGCATGAATGTTCCCCACATTATCAGCTGTCTACGTTGCCCACTGCGAGCCAAAATGCTGGAATTCTGGCCCTCTCCTCTGACTGGATAATACAGAGGCAGAACTTGCAATGATGAATGTGAGCACAGAAACACCTGGGTAGTCTGGTAACCCCTGACAGTTACAACAGGTCACCACTGCCATATCCATAGTCCTTGCCATATCCATGGTCCTTCATTTATCAGACTCTGGCCCTCTGGGACCTGCGCACAAATGCTTGGGTCAGACTGCACCAACATGCTCAGGAGGTGGCTCCACACACCTTGGGTAGCAGGTCCAGAGCTGACACCAACGGGAACAGCCTCAAATGTGTCCTTTATCATTCTTAGTATCATTGTATACAGCAGCTGTGTGAGGGGAAAGAACTGCAGAAAGCGATGGGGTTTTTCCACAGGACTTCTTCTCTTGGGAATGCACGACTGGGCTGTGGTATGACCCAGTAAGACATGTGTTAAGCTTTCCTAATTCTGTATCTGCACATGCACCACAACAATGCAAATCATTTTTCCCAAAAGATTCCCAAAAGAGCAAATCATAGAATCATAGAATAATTTGGGTTGGAAGGGACTGTAAGATCACGTAGTTCCAACCCCATTGCAATTGGCAGGGACTCCTGCAGGTGACCAGGCTGCCCACAGCCCCATCCAGCCTGGCCTTGAATGTCTACAGGAAGGGGCAGCCACAACCTTCCATCAAATGTTGATGGAAGGTCCTACTTTAAAAAGGAGCTACCAGAGCAAGTGTTAGAAGACAAAATATATCCCAGAGTCGTCATTTGTAAATGTTTGATTCCTTCAAGCTGCTGCACCAGGGTCAGCTGGTCAGACTCCTAATGGAAGATGAACATCATGCATGCACAGATTATTAACCTCATGTGCTCCACTATGCTTCCTGTCGTTTTTGTGTACTGGAGAATACTGGGCCATATTCTCTCTGCCTGACTTAAATTACCTTTAGGCCATGGCTGCCAAACCCTTATCTCACATATCACAGTGAAGAATGATAACGAATGATAGCAAAACTATTTGTAGCAATACAAAGCACTGCTGCTAGAAGTCACGTTCATTCAGCAGCTCCTGAGCATTATGGCTTACAGCACGGCCTCTCAGGATGTGCAGTGCACCACGTGGCAAAGGTGTGATCATAGGCAGCTCAGAGGGCTCTGCAAACAGGGTGGAGCAGAAAGGTGGGGCGACCCAAACCTCTCTTTGGAAAGGTGATGAGCAGGTTTAAAGCAAGTCACCACGCTTTGTACTGGCTGTACTCTAAATGCAGTAAATGCCTGAACCATTACCTCAGCTCTTCTGTGGGCTGGTAACCATGGGTACATGCACAGAACAGGGAGCCACAACGCCCTTCACAGCGCTGCAACAAAATTCCCTGCAGTTCAGATGCCTGCCCTGCCACCCTGGGAGGCGGCTGCAGCTCACAAAGGTGCAGAGAAGCTGCCTCAGCTCCAGTATTGCTCCTGTGTCAGAGCAGGGCTCAGCTGCTGGGCAGCCAAAGTCCACAAAACTTGACTCCCTGACACCCGCAGAGCTGCATTTTTTCTGCATCTGCACAGTACTTCAAATGTGAACTTGGGCAGGTGTAAGCAAGCTGCAGTTTCAACTCTGGAACATGCCTGGGACATAAGCTTGCAAATTCCAACTGGGATGGCTAACTCCATTCTAACTACACCCCTCTTCCAGTCAAATGACACTCAGCTCAGTGCCAAAGGCTCTGAGATGTGTCTTGCCATGTGATATTGCCCCTTTGTTACACAACTCCAAAGACTCCCAGTTTCACAATGTGCAGCAAAACATCTTCATCTGCACCACTGTGCTACTTCCAGAGAAAAGTACCAAAACCAGGGAACACACCTGGCTGCAAGCCAGGGGAGCACTTCCTCCCATGTCCCTTCACACGTCATACCCTCCCTCGCTTCACCTTCTCAATCTGACTGTCCTGCAGTGGATGTCTTTCTCTTGTTTCTTTTCCAGTACTTTCAGTGATGCTCTGGATGCAGTGCTGGTCTGCTGCCCGCCTTCTGGGAAAACTGTGGGAACAGCACCCATCGGGTGGAGGTGCTCCCAGTCCTTACTGACTTGTACATCTAACATTTCTGTCCCTTTAATGATCACTTCCCCACATGTCAACATCTGCTGTCCTCCATGGTATTTACTTTAGTTCTGGTCTTTCTCCCTTTGGCATTACCTCCCCCTTCCCAGGGACTTGGTGGCGTCTGGCTTCTACAGGTGAACAGTAGGAACACGTGCCTTAAGGGCACTCCCAGGTAAGACCAAGAAAAGGGCAACCATGTTTGACACTTCCTTATGTCCTCTCCCAGCCTCTATTTTCAGCTCTGGAGGTTTTCTGACCTCATAAGATTTGCCTAATAAGCAACCTTCGACATAGCTCTACCTTGGTTTCTCACTGAGAACAAGCAAGCTGTTCTCTAGCTAGATCAGAAAATCATCAGCAGTACATGTTGTTGGCAGCACAGAAAAAGCAATGCAGCTTCAGTATTTCTAGATGAGGGTGAAATGCAACAGATATTCAGCAGACAGATATAAATCTGCTCCTGTTATCAGAGGCTGCAGAGGAACAGATTATTAACAAAAACAGATCCATCAAAGATAGCCATCCTACTGTACTTTACTGTCCTAAATACAGAAAAGACAGGGGTCTCCTGGGTCCAGCAGGGGGCCACACAGATGACAAAGGGCCTGGAGCATCTCCCTGTGAGGAAAAGCTGAGCGAGCTGGGTCTGTTCAGCCCTGAGAAAAGAAGGCTTGGGGACGATCTTATTAACATCTATGAGCATTTTAAGTGTGGGAGTCAAAGGGATGTGGCTAACCTCTTTCAGCAGTCTGTGGGGACAGGACAAGGGGAAACAGCCATTATCTGGAGCACAGGAAGTTCTGCACCAACATAAGAAGGAACTTCTTCCCAGTGAGGACGATGGAGCACTGGAACAGGCTGCCCAGGGAGGCTGTGGATTCTCCTTCTCCAGAGAATTCAAGACCCGAGAGATAGCTCAGCAGGCAGAACTAAGGAAAGCTGGGGAGAAGGGAGCAGGATTTCCTCCTGCAGTCATAGAGTCCATGCCTGGAGCCACGGGGTCCCGCTCCTACCAGTGGTGTGCAGCACTGCTCAGGTCTTTGGCTGAGAACTGCCTGCACCACAGCACAAACTTTCCCAGCAAGTCTCAGAGGAACACAACATGATGGCAAAAGAGTTGATGGCGTTACCAACCAAGCAGGAAGAGGCATTTTCAGCACTGCTGAGGATGGTACCGAAATGTAGCATGAAATCTCAGTGACCACATTCTGAATCGACTTCAAAGAAGCCAGAAGAGTGAATACAGATAAGGGCTTGGGAGTCAAGGGGCTGTAAAAATGTGTCACACTTATATTTTGCTCGCTTCCATTTTGCAGTTAGAAGATTACAAGGAAAGCTATTTGAGGAAGAAAGAATATGGTACAAGCAGGTTCTTCAATCTAACCAAAAGAGGAAATACATGAACAAACCCCTGGAAGCAAAAGCCAATAAATGCAAATTAGTTACCAGGTGCAAGTTTCACAGTGACAACGATTAACTAACGGGAGAAATAATTAACAGAAGTAGCGCATTCTCCATCTTGTAATCTGCATCAACGACCTGAATGTAGGGACAGGGTTCACCTCCAGCAAGTTTGCTGGTGGCACAGAGCTGAGGGAAGCGGCCAGCACACCAGAAGGCCATGCTGACATTCAGTGAGACCTGGGCAGGCTGCGAGTTGGGTGGAGAGGAACCTGCTGGGGTTCAACATAGGCAGCGCAGGGCCCTGCACCCGTGGAGGAGCAGTCACAGAGCCTGCAGGCTGGGAATGGGCTGCTGGAGAGGAGCTCTGCGGAGAAGAACCTGAGGGCCTTGATGGCCAATGGCTGACCACGAGCCAGCAGTGTCTCCTGGTGGACACGAAGGCCAATTGGACGCTGGGGTGCATGCACAGAGTGTGGCAGCAGGGCAGGGAGGTGCTCGGCCCCTCTGCTCTGCCATGGGGAGACCACATCTGGAGTACTGGGAGCTGCTTCATTGGGGTGGGTGGACTAAGGAAGCTCCAGAGGAGCCTTGCAGCCCCCACGGTTGTGTGACCGTGTGACTCTTGGAGAAGTACAGCAGTACAGAAGGGAACAGTACAAAAACTCATTTATGCACAAGGGCAGCTTCACAGATTGAAAACATGAGACTCCTCCTTACAAACATCATTCTCTCAGAAAATTGACCTCTTCCATTAAGTCTATGAAGCTTTGCTCTTTGAGAATAATCAATTATTTAGACACAAATGAGCAGTAAATCAGAACTTCCTTCACCGAACTGCACTGCACTCACGTTTGTGAGATCCCGAGAGACGTAATTTCACACGTACCACAAAGGGAAGCAAACACTCCTGCTGGTTCTGCACCAGATAGAGGCTCAGCAAGGGAATGCGGCAGGGACCCGTCAGACTGCATGCCAAACACAGAGAGTTTTCCAGGGCTTCGGAGAGCACGGAGCAAGTGTTGGCCCAGGAAGGTGACGTGACGTCCACAACGAGGATCCGCGACGGCTGCTGGCTGCACGCTTTAGGAGCTGGAAACGTCCTCCGTGTTTCTGAGAGTAACCTTCTGCAATTCATGGCTTCTGTGCGCCGGCAGTGGATGAGCACTTATCCGTCAGCATCTGAGCAGAAAAAACAAACCATCGCAAAGAGTGAGACTTCCCATTCGCCAGAAAGTGACCTGAGATCACAGCAGACAACGGCGAATTGCGCTTCTGTGCCTTTCGTCACAGCATTTGTCCGCAATATAAACCCACACAGAGGAAAAGGAACGTGCATAAAGTCAGGAAACAAAAGGGCTCAACTAGAAAATAAAGAAGCACAGAAAATATGCAGATGTAATGGAAGCAGTCAAAAACATTGCTAGCAGAGCTCCCCCGGCCCGTGGGTGAGCTGTGTGACACCATCCCCCGCACAGCTCAGGTTCATGGCAGGAAATCTCCAGCACAGCAGTGCTCTCCAGAAGCTGCTGAGTAAAACTCGGAACTTGCTGCTCCCGTTTCTGCAGTGGCTGCATAACTGCCCATACATTTCAATATGAATTAGGACAAATTCCTCTTTCTCGTGGCTGCGTAACCCCCCGGAAGGTTCTCCAAATCTTGAAACTGCCCCTCGTGTGCATGGCAAAGCTCTGGTCAGAACCCAGGGCTGTGTGCATGGCTCCTAACTGGTGTGCTGTATTTGACATGCAGCTCTCCTCTGTTTGCCAAGGAGAAAAGCTGCGATCTCTGACTGCCCCCAGAACTTCACAGTAAGAACTTCTGCAGGCCTTGAAAACAGCAAGAAATGCATTTCCATCTGACTGAGGCATCATCAGAACAACAACTGTATCTCTGGGCTGCTTGTCAGTGATGGCAAAACAGAGAGGTCACCAATTTCATTTAAAAACTGGGGCTAACAATTCAGAACTGGTGGAAATGTTTTCTCTTTGGCGTGCAAATGTGCACATGTTGCTGTGACTGGTGATCTGACACAGCATACTGGAAAGTGAAAAGCTGTCGGACACCATTCCAATCACTGTCTCTCCTGCAGCTCTGCATTATGCTGTAGAGTTTACTGAATTTCCTCCCTAATTCTGGAAAAACATTTGGCTGTCTGTATTTTTGTGTGTGAAGATTTGTGTCTCTGCAAACCAGCGCCTCCTCAAACAACGAAACAAAGCTCATCCCACAGTCACAAATGCACAAAAGTTGGCGCTTTGGTTTGCCTTCATTTCAGACGGAGAACGGAGCCTCGATGCAGAAAAACGCTCCATTTTCCTGGCTGGAAACGAAGTCTCTCATTCTCGACAACCTCACAGCACTGCGCTTGTTTTAATCCGCCCCAGTTAAATGGGCCCTCGGCAGCTGCAGGCTTTGTCAGCTGAAGGAGCTGTGCTTCTTCACGCCGCGCCGCCTCAGTCTCTGCTGGCACTGCTCCCAGCGCCACGTGCAGCTCTGCGCAGCGCCTGACGCGCAGTGGGAGCTGCCATCGCTCACAGCTCTGCTCTGCTGGGCCGCGCTGGGCTGGGGAATGGAAGAACTCTGCACAACAGCCTGCAGTTCGTGGCAAAACATCATTGAAGTAGCAAATAATGGACAGGGAGCCGCGCCGAAGGCACTGCGCCGTAATTCGGTGTGCTGAGTGACAAGCGCTACCTCCAGCATCTGCTGTGACGTCAACTTACTGCTTAATGAAACAGAGCTCATTAACTGCCACGGCTAATTGCTGAGGTTGATGCACATTCCGCTCAATGCAGGCATACGTTTTTCAAGGGCAGAAAGAAAATCGTGCCACGCTGGGAGAGCTGTGGTTACTGACAACACTCTGTTGTTGCCCATCATCCCGTGGGCCACGTTTGCTTCACTCATGCAAAACTGTCAAACAATATCCAAGCCCACAAGAGCGTGAGTGGGAGCACTCGAGATTGCAGAACATGAAAAGGATCAATCTCAGTCTTCTTTCTAAGGTATAAGGAAGTAAAATGCTTGGATTTGCTTTATTCTACATGGGAAGGAAAACCCCACAGAAATGTGAATGAGTTGAAGTGAATAATAGCATAAAGGGTAATGAAGCCCAAAGGACTCGCTCTGACAGCGGTCTGTTTACAGAGAAGCAGACACTGAAACCAAGAAAACCTCAGAATGTGATACTAATGAGTACAAACTGTTGGCAAGGACAAGCATAGAGAGTGGAGAACAGAAGGCACCAACAGTGTCAGCCAACAGGTCTAAGAAACATAAAAACTTCCCTACGCTGCAACAGAAGAAAAGACAAACTGGAAGTAGTATGCATCTGGTATTAATTTATAAGCATAATATTTGATTTAACTAAACAGGAAAAGTGTTCAGTCAATATTTTGATGTGCATTTAGAAAAATGTACTGATGACTAATTAGCCTTTCTGCCATTCGTGGCTACAGAGGACACTACGTGCAGCTGCAGTTTATCTGCCATGCCTGGACAGGAAGACATTCCTTTATTACGGTTCTACTTGTACTTAATGGTCTTTTCCCACCATGATAACTCTGTGGTTCTATTTAAAAAGGTCAGCACGAACAGAAGAACAAAAGCAAAATACAGGAAGAGTTAGCAAATAGTCAAGCTGCTGAAATTATTCAAGATCCTATGTATCAGGAGAACCATTACAGAATGCCCTGGGTTGAAGAAGACCACAATGCTCACCTCGTTCCAACCCCCTGCTGTGTGCAGGGTCACCAAGGGACACACAGGGATACATAGATCCCCATAGAGACCCATGGATCCCCCCACAGGGATACATAGGGACCCACCGATCCCCTCAGAGACCCATACAGACCCAGAGATCCCCATGCAGATCCATAGAGACCCACTGAACCACAGAACGGCTTGGGTTGAAAAGAACCACAGTGCTCATTCCAACCAGCAGCCCAGGCTGCCCAGAGCCACATCCAGCCTGGCCTCGAATGCCTGCAGGGACGGAGCATCCGCAGCCTCCTTGGGCGGCCTGTTCCAGTGCCTCACCACCCTCTGGGGGAAAAACTGCCTCCTGATATCCAACCTAAACTCCCCTGGCTCAGTTTAAGACCGTTCCCCCTTGCCCCACCACCATCCCAACGCCCGGCCGCGGGCGGTGGGGGCAGCAGGGAGGGCGGGGACACTGGGGGCTGTGCGGACTCGCCACGCGCTGGGCGCCGCACGGAGCCGGCCTGTGGCAGCGGTGTGAGGCACTGAGCCGGGTCAGCACGCCGGGCTGGGGCACAGGAGCCCCGCGCGGAGCTGCGTAGGATACCTGCACCGCCGTCCTGCGAGCGCAGCGGGCGGCTCTCGGTGCTCATTGCGTCCGGAGCTGTGCCGCCGGGCTGGGCCAGAGCGCACACGGCGCCCGCTACGCACACTGCACTCATAGCGCACGCTGCGCAAACTGCGCCCGCTACGCACACTGCGCTCATAGCGCACGCTGCGCAAATTGCGCTCGCTACGCACACTGCGCTCATAGCGCCCGCTGCGCAAACTGCGCCGGCTACGCACACTGCGCTCATAGCGCACGCTGCGCAAACTGCGGCCGCTACGCTCACTGCGCTCATAGCGCACGCTGCGCAAATTGCGCTCGCTACGCGCACTGCGCTCATAGCGCACACTGCGCTCATAGCGCACACTGCGCCGGTTGCGTACAGCTCCGCACGGTGCGTGTGAGCAGACCGGCAGTTGTGCGTTACGGAGCGGCTGTTCTGCCCGTCTCTTTTCCCCCGTTAGGAAATGCGTGTTGAATGGAAAATACACGCTTTGTTCAGAAGGAGTTTCAGTCTAAGAATGCTGGAGACACCGTGAATCAGACTGAAGAAGAGCAGATCGATGACTGGAAGCTGCTTGATGATTGAAATGATTTAACTGCTGAAGTTAAATCAGTTCTTCAGGGAACGCCTGCTGGAGTCTCTGAATCTGAGCTGCTACCACTAGTGAAGCTGCGTTCTTATTTAGATTTATTACAGGCTGGTAGTTTCCTGGGTCATCCTTTTTACACGTATTAAAAATGGCTCCGATGTCTTGCTTCTGCTCTCCGGGAACTTCACCCGATTGCCACTTTTCAAATATCATTGAGAGCAGCTTGGTGACAACATCAGCGAAATCCCCCAGGACTCTGTGTTGTATCTCGTAGGGACACACAGACTTGTGGACGTTCAGGTTCCTCAGAAGGTCCTGCAGCTGATCTTTGCTCACACTGTGTGTGTGGGGAGGTATTGCAACCCCAACCCCTTCTTAGCAAACATAACATTTGAGGGCTATGCGACGAGCAGTTAACAGAGAAGACAGAGGTGAAGAAGTTGCTGCGTCCCACAGACTCTGTGTCTGCTGTTAGCAGCTGCCAGCAAGCAGCAGTGTGCACAGCACACAGCCACGCTGCTCTGAGAAAGGAGCATTACAGTGCATGCCTGCAAAAGAGGCACCACCTCCAGGGCTCACGAGTGGGAAGTGCACTGCTGGGAGAGCAGCAGACTGAGCTGAGGCCAGCGGCACTCAGCACAGAGAGCTCCTGGCCTCGGGGCTCAGCTGTTCTGACTTGCTGGAAAATATTCCCCCAGACTTCCAGTTTTGCTCCCAGTAAGTTGGTACCCTGTTCCGCTTACTTACTGTGCGTCCCGAGAAGGATGGTTGAAGAAGAGACAAAATCTGAAGCATTAAAAAAAAAAAAAAAAAAAAAAGAGCAGAAAAGAAAAAAACCACACCAACGTGCATTGACCCCATGAAGGCAGCAGATCGAATGGGGAAAAGTTTGAGAACTCTTTTGTTGTTCGCTTGTGGTTCCATTGGTCACAAACTTGCACACCTTGATTTCTCACACTTCGGATGCTGTAGCAGAGGGTGGAGGTGATTTCAGAGCAGGAAATGTACTCCGGCCGCTTGTTTGTTGGCTGATGGAAGCCCCCTCTGTCGCTTGGCTGATGATTATTTCACAAAAAAGCAACAGCGTCACTGATGCAGCAGTGCCTTTGCTCATTCAAGCTGAAGTTCTGGTCACCTTTTCCTTTGGTCCTCAGTAGTAAGTAAGTAAGTAAGTAAGTAGCCTGGCGCCAGGCTTTATCCAGTGTGAAATCCGAACCGTGGCAGTAAAGCTGATTTCCCAAGGAGGCTCCAACTCTCGGGCTGATGCTGGCAGCACAAAGTGCCATCGCTCTGAGTATGCAGAGGCAGTGAGGCAGCAAAAGGCTGGGGTTTAAGCCTGGTTTAGAAAGAAAGGCGTTCTCAAGCATCTTGAGGATGCTACCAGCTCTGATAGTAATCCCTGCTCAGAGCAATTAGTCCTTCTAAAGTTTTCAACAAATGTGGGGACAAATGGAGAGCTCACCGCTGTAACAAATGATGTTCCTTCAGCAGCCCCAGATGGACCTCGCTTCTGACTTTTCCACACGCAAGAAAGCAGCTTCTCAGGTGCGTCTTTTTCCAACGTTGCTTGTTGTGGAATGTTTAAGCGTGGGATCCGTCCCTCTCTGTTCTCTGCAGGATGCCGTTTCTCACAGCGAAAAGCTTTCTAAGGAGAACAAGCAGCAGCTCTCTGACACGACGATGCTGAACAAGCAAAAGGGAGGTTTGAAAGCTTTGAGCAAAGAGAAGAGAGGGGAAAAAGTGCTGGAAGGCTGTTGGCATCTTTCCTACTTCCCGCAGGTACGCAGCTTCTCGTGCTGCTCCTGGAGCACTCCTCTTGCATGGAGGCTGCCCTGTGTCGGCGCAGTCTTTGCGACGCGCTGCAGCATCGTAGCTCTTTGTGGCGCTGGCCTTTGTGGACACGTGCATGGAGCAGCTTTTCTTCTTGCTGTAGACCAGCCCGGCGTACTTGAGCAAGCTGATTTTTCAGATGCCTCAAAACAAACCTGCTCATGGATTCGGTCATCCTCACGCTGTGTAACTGTGCATCAAAGAGAGCAGTATCTGCTGTGTCAGCTTTCCCAGACAGCGCTGCTGGAGGAGATCAGGCATGTCGTGGCACAGGACACAGCCTTGCTGTTGCCTCCGTTTGGATGGTGTCTGGAATTGAGGCCGTTCTCATGTGATGTCCCGTGCTAATTTGCAGATGAACTGTCCCTGCTTTCTGCTCATCCTGTTTCACGTTGGTCCTTTCTGTAATCTAGAAAGGAGGAATTAACTTTGTTCTTGAGGAAGTAAGCCATTTTTATTTAGCCCATACTTTGTCTCTCAGGGCGGCACTGTTTTTCATCTAATGCAGAAGCTTCCTAACATTCACTCCAATCTAAACTCTCTGCTGTCCAGTAACAAGGATTGCCAACAGCCTGTGAGCTCGGCGTTACAGCCCAGAGGTGGAGCTAACATGGAGACCTCGGGATTTTCAAAAAGGAACGAGAAGGCTGAGAATCGGGGGCTTTGTTTGACATTTTTACAGGCTGTCCTACTTAAGGATTCTGCCTGTTTTGTTGGTTTGGCTGGAGCTGAGGAGCTCGGTGCTCCCGACTTCAGTTCTTTGTGATACGGAGCAGTGCCAATTGCTGCCCAGACCAAACACACGTATTGGTGGAGGAGATTGCTCTATGCATTTTATTTTTTTCTTTAATGCTTTTGAAGTGTGAGAGTGGTATATGCCTTCAAACAGGTAACATCTAAAATAAACTGATTTTCCTTTTTTCCTTGGAGCAGTGCTTCAGAGAAACGTGGATGCTTTCTTCCCTGCTGCTGTTTCCCATCGCAGAATTCTAGGAAGGTTTCTGTTGTTGACTGCTTACTTTCTTATTTTCAGTACTGAAAGAAACACACCATTCTTTTTATGCTGCCTGCATAGAATTCCCTTTGTTTCCTTTGTAGTTTTGAGCTGTGCTCTGGAACAGAACATACAGCTGGATCTAGAACAGTTGCCAAAGAGGAGTCTGCGGGCAAATGGTGCTGGATTCCCAGACAGAGGTCATAAAGCTCCTTGCTTCCTTGCGAAGTGTTCCTGTATTATTCTTACATATCTTTGTATGTTACTGCTGTGCTGAGACTTTCATGGCAAATCCATTCTCTGTTTCCCAGAGGTGACGCTGAGAAGCTCGCCTCACGATGACTTATGCAGGCCTCTCGTTTCATGTTAATGCTTCCTTTGGGTCCAAAGAAGACCAACTCCTTGGAACCGTGCCTGGGAATCCCACTGTTGTTCAAATGGTTGATCTGTAGTGCTGTGGTCAGAACGCCCTGCCACAGATCCTGGCACTGGTTGTGAATGGAAGAACTGACGGCAAATCGCTCGATATCAAAATTGATCCGGTGGATATTTACAAGCCTCGGGCGACCCAGGTGGGATCTCAGAGTTGTGAGGCCAGGTACCGAAGTTGTTACTGCTATGTTTCTCCTAAGAGTTGCTTGGCTGTTTTGCATTGCTCTGTTAATCGTTCCAAGCCATCTTTGGCTTCACTGTGCTTTTTCATCACCTCAGACGCTGGCTAAAAAAAGAAAAGAATAAGAGAAAGCAAGACAACATCATTTTGTTGGTAATTTACCTATTTACAGATATTCATAACCACTTAGCGCAGATTTGGTGGGTTTGCCGAAGTTTTTCTTCGTCTTATTTAGTTCACATTATTGTCTGTTCCGCCCCCCCCATCCAACTTTGCGTTTTTCCTCTGCCCTCATGAGAAAGAGAGAACGGAGCGCCAGAAGCTGCGGCGCAGCTGCGCGTCAATCGGGTCGCAGTTGTTTCCGCGGTCTCTGCCGCCCCCACGTGGCCAATAGGTGGAATTGCGGCCATGTACGTTTGGTGCCGCAGGACGCATGCGCGCAGGCACACGGAAGTGGTGTACGGACGTTCTCGTCGCTCTGCGCAGCAAATCCGCCGAACTTTGTTATACCTAGTCCTCCAAGTAGTAGTGCGCATGTGCCAAAGACTTTTAAAGAAGGATCAGTTTCTACGAAATCCTAAGGTGCGGGTGAGCAGCCAATTCCTGGACCACTGGCACAAAAATGCTTTCCTCTCTTCTAGACAGTGCTCCTTGTCTATTTTCTTGAGCAGTCTGACGAGCCTGCCTCTACAGCAGACTATTCTGGCTCCCAGCGGACCTTGCGCCCAGTGCATGCATAATAAGGAGTCAAAAACAACGCATGCGTAGGTGCGTACACGAAAATGCGCATGCGAAGTAATCTCTGCACATTGCCGCATGCGCAATGCTTTCCAGAGACTTGCACATGCGCAGTGCTGTGCCAAGAGAAGCGCATGCGCACTGTGGTACCGCAACAGGCGCATGCGTGGTGCCGTGCCGGGACTGGCGCATGCGTAGTGAGGTTTCGAGGCTGGAACATGCGCAGTGCGTTCCAGACAATGGCACATGCGCAATATGCTGCCAAGATCGGCACATGCGTAGTGCGGTCTCCGGATTCGCACATGCGCACTGCGACACC